ACATAAATTCTTATGTCAGCAACTTATGTTGATTGAACAGCGTTTAACGGTGTTATTTTTGTATGTTTTTGTAGCTACAAAATTTTTCTTGATGCAAATACAAATACAACGTTCGAAGTATTAATACTACTGACGCTGTCGCTCTATGCCTTTGTTACATATAGCGCATAATAATTAACAACCATATTGGTTTCTTGTAAAACCTCGACCTACTTTTCTGCCGAACACCGAGTACGTACCTCCTTTGTATACTCTGTCGTCGAGTATATATTTCTTTAATCTTTTTTTAGTACAATGTCGTTCTCTCCCCGGTTCAAAGATTATTCAAACATCATATATACATGTTCGCGTGTTTACTGTATACAAAATGGCTCTATTATTCAGAATATCCATTTCATAAAGTGAAAGAATAATACTTATTAAATATTGTTATTATACAAACTGTGTTATGGCAGCTGTTATATTTTATCACTTGCGCCAGATAGTAGCTGCTTAGTAGGCATTAAGCTTAATGAATATTTGAGGACTTGGATTATGAAATGATAGGCCGCATAATAAACCAGGAGATCTGCAATTCACCATAATTAATGTTTAACGATATAGTTCTCATCAGTAATGAAGGTAGTAGACTCCCGGATGGAATCACTGTTGAAATATCATGGTCCTGTATTCCGTCAGTGTTTTTTGTCGTAAAGAACAATACGACGCGGCGGGAGTTTTCATATTTGTGGAAATATGGAAATTGAGGGCGCGGCCTCGTCGCACGATGGCGCCGAGCAAATTGAACAATAATCCGCAGACTCGGCGGCCGCTGGGTCAGCTGTAATCGCTGGGGTAAGTGTCGCGCTAAGTGGAACGTGGCCATAGCAAAATAATAGCGTGATTGTTAGAGAAAAGTCACAAGTTTTCTGTCCACACACACAACACACACAGAAATCAGCAGAATTGATATACTTCGCGAGGTTCTGTAAATGCGGACGGTTGAAAAGATTCCCTTTCCTCATTTTCTTAATAATTTTAAACCGCGTGAGTTGGATTTTTCGACGTTGAACTTTAAGGCGGGACAAATTTATTTCATCGAAGTGGCGCGTGTAATGCCGGTCAACAGTAATCATGTACACTAGAGTGCATTATGATATTAAATACGACATTAGATTTCATTAGAGTTTTAAAATAAATATTAAAAGATTTAAGTTTAAAGTATTAAAAGCTTTATTTAGTAGAATGAAAATTTCAGCAAGTTCAATAGTTGATTAAAATGTATGCGACCATCTCGACTTAAGTACTTTGCAAACGCAAACATTCTCCCTCTCATAAGTATACATACATATGTTCAGACTGAACTGCTTTCGGAATGTTATTCCTCAAGTAAGCGCAACATAGATATAGGTCGACCTGATCGATGTGCTCGCGATCACAACCTCATAATTGCCGTCGTAAATCTTCCGCCATAATCTGCTCCTTTGTCTCGTAAAGAGGAAAAAAGGGAAGAGAAAATATTCCTGCCACAATTGAGAATTAGACCGTCCTCGAAGGGAATTTCTGTTGGACCTAGAAAAGGGTAAGAGTCTCGAAAAAGATTAAGTATAGACGATGAAAATTATTGGCGTGCAGATCATGCAGCATGTTGTGTTAAATTGTACAATAGTTCATCATGGATTGCTGGTAATTGTTACAACACGAATCACTGGAACGCAATTCCACCAGCCATAAAGTGATGGTTCTATGTATTTCCGAAGTGACACATATACGTGTGCGGCCTCCGTGAGGCGTGATGTAGGTCAATATCACTATCACACCTTTCTTTTACTTTTAATCGGAGAGTAATTTTGCGCAATGCGCTTAATCGTGATTTTTTAACGAGAGTCAGGATTTTAACAAGTCTAATCTCATTAAGAACTTATATATGTAATTATCCGCGTGTGCAGAATACGTTCGTGTCGCGATCTCAACGTCCATAAATGTTCACGTGTAGAAAAGTTTTACATTCCTAATACTTCAAATATTGTCATTATTATTATCATATCTTTTATTATTTAATTACTTAGAATGATTAACTAAGAAAGATTATAAAACATAAATAATTGGCATACACATTTACAATATTTAATCAAATTTTTGTTAGCAGTAATTAGTATATTCATTTCTTTTACTTTGCATTTTATTTATATGCTTTAAGTTGAACGTGGAAAAATGAATATATTCTGTATTCTCGCGGCTTACGCTAAGTGAGTTTAAAGATGGCACATTAATTTTAGCGTACACTTTTTATGCGTATCACATATGTTTTAACTATAAAAATTCAGGAGACATGATTTTAATTCATTCAAATGGATTTTATTTAATCATTTACTTGTTAATTAAATTATAAAATATTCGCTCGAAGTTTTTATTGCATTTTCATAGAAGAAATTATATACATAATGTATGTATAATCATGATTCTCAATTAATCATCAATTTTGAAAGAAGGATATTTTGATATTTAACGAAGAATGTAGTTAAGAAATTTTATTGGTTTTTCTTAGTCTTCGTTGTCTGTTCTTTGTATTTTTCACGCTGATGACCATATCGATCTCACGGAGAGTTTCCAATCCAGCCGTCCGTTTTACTCGAGATTATCCTCGAGATCGAGACACTTAAAGAATTCCATGAATTAATCAAAGAGAATTATCACTTTGAAACTTTCGCATTACACATAATAATATTTCTTTCCATTTGCCGATGGCGACAGTGAAGCCAAACAATTATTTACTTACTGAATAGGCCCGCTCTACAAAAGAAAATGCAAGTACCGAACTTTATCATTTCTGACATTTGTCTCTTTATTACGCTTTTTCGTGCTATCTCTATTCGCAGTTCTTAAGGGCACGTTGTATTGTAACTCGTCGTGATTTACCGCTACTGAAATATGCTTTGATGTTTCGGAATTAAATTGTGTTAAACTAACTTGTCTCTCTCTGCTCAAGTTATTTTAGATTACATTCTCGTAAAATGTCGTTCCACGCATTACCGCAACAATCGGTATCGCCACAACTTTGGTGTTTCCTAATTAAATATATTAGATCGTTCAATCTTGTCGCTGCAGCACTGCTGGCAAATGGCAGAAAGCTCGATGGTGAATGAGCGCCATTATAATACATACCGAGGAGGAGAATTTAATGCAGCTTGACTTCTCACAAAAGACAGCAAACCGCTTATCGCTCTATTCTCATGGACATCCCGTTAATTACAAAGCGTTTGCAATCATCTTTATGAATATTAGTTAAGTTTTGCTGAGATTAATATCGCATTATCGTATTGCTTACGTCATAATGATTCGTAAATTATTTTTTACGCGTAGTAATTTGATAATATTCGAAATAAATCTTTCGCATATTTTCAAGTATTTTAAAAATGTATAGAATTGATTTTCCTCTTGTTAAAGGCTAAGCAATTAATGTTATTAATATTAGATACGTATTAGAAGCATGAAGAAGAGCATTTCATAATTGAAAAGATATAATGGAAGTACACATCAGAAACAATAATTTTATTGTAATGTAATTTAACGCAGGTCTGCGAGTAAAAAATGGATATTGGATCGACAATGAAAATAACGAGTTTGTACAATATGATTACGTATAATCGAAATAAATGTCAAATGTTGAGTGTTAATTTGTAATCCTATACGTCCTTTGCGTCGTTTAACGAATGATATCACTTGCTATTCTGATAATGTGACAATCGCTGTTTACTACATCCGTTTAAACCTCTTTTTCAATGTCCCAAGTGACAGTAACTTGTCTTGAAGCCATTACGTTCACGCCCGCGTGAAATTCATCTTCCAAGGCAAGTGCTTTAATTAAATGTCAATTCGATGTTTTTCGCATCATTTGACATCGGTCAACATTGCTTTGCGTCCCAGGCTTTAATTGAAGACACGTTTCAAATCAAGCGCGTGTCACTTTTTCTTTTTTGAAAAAAAACATTTGCTTTTGTTAAATTTTATACGTACTATGCATGTCACACCGCTTACCCACTCGCGATAAATGCTACTTTCGGTTTTTTCCTTCATGCGGAAAACACCAAATCTCAAAACGAATTACAGTGGTCTGCCTGTGACAGCACCACGGTGCTTACGCGAACAAATATTTTTATGTACATACAAACTGCGCGAGCACATACATACACATCCACGCAACGCTTTTAAAAGTACGTGCAAATAAAACGAAGTCGTGCGAGTTAGATAAAGAATTGGCTTACCAAAGGCTATTGCAATTGCAATCATGATATTGATAGATTTTATCTTTAGATTTCATCAGTACTATTTATTTTAATCACTGTAAGACTAGCACTTTTAGTGCTATTCTTATAAGTAAAAGCAGATATGCGAAAAATGCATGCTCCTGAAGAAATAATCCTCGAATTTTAAAGATAGGAAGCTAAGATTTCTTCTTTTTTCCTTTTCAATAAACGCCGACTGATTGAACGCACGCTCCTTAAAAAATATGGTTAGACGAAAATACTGTAAGATCAAAATCGGCCACATTTAACGAATTTAAACGTTAAAGACGTAACTAGTTATCGAATCATTACATTATTGATTTATTATCACATTGTTCAAAGCATCAACAGCAATACATAACATACGATTTTATTAACACGAAAAATTACGCATTATGTAAGCTTGCAACGTACAGCCGTATCGTAAAAAAGAATGACACTTAGGAAAATATGTAATCGAAGGAGCCAGTAGTCACAAAATCTTTCATTTTCTCTGAGTCATCATTACAATCTTTTAGTTCGGAACTTTCGATATTTGTGTGAGTTTTAATTTGTGAGTATTGGCTTCTACGACTTCACATATTTTTTCGGTGTTGTCTGTGTACCAGTCAATGTTCAAGCTTTCGTAAGCACCGCATTACTGTTGAACTGTTTGTTAGTATTATCACGAGCTAGCTAAAAAATATTAACTGATTGTCGTTATTGTGATTGTAACTGAATGTTTCTTGCTTGCAGCACCAGAGCGCCGCCCAGGCATTGGTGAGTCGCATGTCTCTTTCTTTTCTTCTGTCCTTATATGCACATTTTATGTACATCTTTACATTTCTATCGCCATTCCGTTTCAAACTACTGAAATTACCAATAATCTTTCTCGTGGTATGTTAAAATTAAGATAAGTAATTACATTTTGTAGGTATACCAATTTTTATTGTATAAATAACAATGTGTTAATTATTTTTTATTTTAATCCACGAGAAAAGATTGAATGAAATTAACATCAATGGTATTCTTATTAAATCATAATCAAAGCTGCATCATGATATATATGTGTAGAAAATTACACTACCTTTTTATTCGTGAAACATGTATCCTCTGTATACAGCGCGTATAATATGATTTTTTTCAATTCCACGCGTTACAACAGAATACATGGGTGCAATTTAGTTTAAATTGTATAAGTAACTTAAAACAAAACAATTTTAAACAAAATATTAAATAAATATATATAATTGAACGATATACAGTGACTGACAAAAAAAGGAACCACTGTAATATTATAAGTTTTTATTTTAAAAAATTGTAAAAAAATGAAAAGAATTTGAAATAATTTAGCTCAGACAGTTGATTATATTAACAAAATTTTAATGTTTATAACAGATTTTTCTTTATCTTGTTTAAATTAATTTATATTTAATTTTTTGAGAAATGTTTTATTTAATGCTAAGGCAAAAAAGAGATCATACTTATTTTTATTAATAAAATTTGAAGAAAATTAGAAAAAGCAAAAAAAAACACATTTTGATATTTAGTATGACTTCCTTTCGCTTTGATTACTGCCTAAAGTCATCTTGGCATACTCTCCAAGAGGTTTTGAATGTGTTTTTTATCCATCTTCTCTCAGGTCCTTTGAAGCGCCGCGAAATAATTTTCTTTATTAATCACTCCGATTTTATCAATCTTCTTATCCAAAATGGACCAGGATAGATTTTCTATGGAATTAAGGTCGAGTGATTGTGGAGGCCAATTAAGAAGTTTAATTCTGTTGGATTTCATAAATGTCTGACGTCTCTTTACCGTATGCTTCGGATCATTGTCTTGCTGGAAGATGAAATTATCTTCCAATTCGACGCGAAGCAATGATATCTATCAGATTTTCACCAAATTTCCTACTCCTGATCAACTAAAGCAATCTGAGATTATGATGCTGCTTCCTCTGTGCAAGAAGAGACAGCATTATGATCTGGGGTTGCTTTATTAGTTTGCTGCAAATGACGATCTTGATGTTCTTCTCCGGTTTTTCTCCATACTCTAAGCCTTGTTTTTCGATTGAATATCGATGTAGGTAACGATGATGAATATGATGAATAATTCATATTCATCATATTCATCATATTCATTCAACATCAAGAATGTCATTTGCAGTAAACTATAAGCACGGAGGTGCCTCCTCCTGCTTGTTGATCAGGAGTAGGAAATTTGGTGAAAATCGATGATATTATGACCGCTGATATCTACATCGATATTCTTCGTAAAAATCTGATGAATATCATTGCTTCGCGTCGGATTGGAAGATAATTTCATCTTCCAGCAAGACAATGATCCGAAGCATACGGTAAAGAGACGTCAGACATTTATGAAATCCAACAGAATTAAACTTCTTGATTGGCCTCCACAATCACTCGATCTCAATCCCATAGAAAATCTGTCCATTTTGGATAAGAAGATTGATAAAACCGGAGTGATTAATAAAGAAAATTATTTCGCGGCGCTTCAAAGGACCTGGGAGAAGATGGATAAAAAATACATTCAAAACCTCGTGGAGAGTATGCCAAGACGACTTTAGGCTAAGTAATCAAAGCGAAAGGAAGTCATACTAAATATTAAAATGTATTTTTTTGCTTTTTCTAATTTTCTTCAAATTTTATTAATAAAAAATAAATATGGTCTCTTTTTTGTCCTAGTATTAAATAAAACATTTCTCAAAAAAATTAAATATAAATTAATTTAAACAAGATAAAAAGAAATCTGTTATAAACATTAAAATTTGTTAATATAATCAACTGTCTGAGCTAAATTATTTCAAGTTCTTTTCATTTTTTCACAATTTTTTGAAATAAAAACTTATAATATTACAGTGGTCTCTTTTTTTGTCAGTCATTGTAAATAGTATAATGTTAAGTTACCTATGATAGTGTTAAGATACCTATGGATTTTTATTACATTGTATTCTCTTTTGTAAAACAACATTGCATTATTTATATTTTACAATTTATATTGAATATTATATTACAAAAAGAATAATATTCTCTGATGGAATAAGATAAGCTGGATCAAGAAACCGGAAAGTTAAAACCCTTAAACTTTGAAAGCACAACGATTTTTACGCGATGGTCGTATACTAACTTTTAACAAATTCTATCAAGATCGAGTTTTCTAAACTCGCTTCAGTCCCTCTCTAATCCCTTCGGAAATATCTTAAATATCTGAAATCTAATTTACATTAATAACTTCTGCGAGCCCATAATTTATTTTACAACATGCCATTTTTAAGTTTTAAATCTTCTGTTATGTTTATACACAATATTAGCTACATTTAATTACTCATCACACACACACACACACACACACACACACACACAAAGCAAAGCACTTTCTTTTTTTCTCTCATTGTGATTAAATTCTCGACAGATATGATGAACAAGAATAAATAAAATTGATTGTAAAATTCATGATGTTTAATTAAGATGAAGCTATATACATAATTATATTTATACATGCGATCACGTACTTACGCTTAATCAATACGGTGTTTAACTGAATTGTATCGATCTAGAGATCGCGGTACTACACAAAAATAACTCATCACCGTATTTCAATGAACAATCAGCGAGATTGTTTCGCGTGGTCGATGAAAGCTCGCGCTGGTCGGTCCGATACGAAGCGGAGGCGGAACGATGGTCGGATGCATGTGAATATAAATCTATCTACAGCTTCGATGACCTCGTCCCGCTTTGATAAATCTTCGACGATATCGGTATCGATTTTCTGAAACATCTCCGAATCGCGATTCAGAAATGCATCAGCCATAAGCGACGCTTATTCTTGCGTGTGCCACGATGTCAGATGATTCGTTGAACACCATAGGATGCAACAGCTCTTCGTTGTTCGTTGTAGTACGAAATAATTTACTCCTGATGAACGGTGCGGAAAATCCAATCGCTCGGATAATTGAATTGTCGGACCGATCAGAGGGAATCTCCTGCAACCTTTCGCAAGATCGAGCTTCACTCTTTTTTTTGCTAGTGCGCGCATCATCATCCGTACGGCTCCGACCAGCCGTTTCTTAAAACGAGACTTCCGCAAGAGAATTTCCGCCTGACGAATCTCGACATATACCAGACAAACGTCGCCTGAGATACGAGATAATTTTCTTTGAACTATTCCTTCTTTAAATCTTATTAGGCCGTGTTCGAGTTTTTAGAATGACATCACAATTAAGTTATTTATAGAAGCTTGTTTATGACATGAGTCCAGCTACTTTAGATCGAAAGATAGTATTGGAAGTCGTTAAAGAATAATGTCCAGTTAAATTGAATAAAATTGAATGCGCAACAATTGGAAAGAAAGTTTGTTATGTTTCACATTGATAAAAATCGATCGCATTTACCAAACTTAAATCTTTATGAAGAATAAAAGCGTCGACAACTACAACGTAATGCGAAAGTTTATGGCATTAAAAAAGTGAGTGATAACATTAAACGCAGAGGATAGAATTTGTCGAAGATTCGTCATTTATTATTCTCTTTATCGTTATCTAGAATATCGTTTCCTATTCAGGAAAGCGTGTGCAAAACGATTTTGTACGGAAACACAAACTAGGTCGAAAGTATTGTAAAAGTTGTATAATTGCAACTCCCTTATCGACTCGACTGGGATAACCGATTCGATGTGAGAGACTCCGGCGAGACTCTCCAGTTAGTTTTGCACGCTAGAGCAGCCATAGAGTTATCGTAAACTTCTTCCAATCTGAGGCTTGTAAGTGGCTTTTTCCAATCGAAATAGCATCTACTAGTTACAACGGTGTGACATGTATCACCACGCCCATTAATTTTGCACGACCGTCGAACGTTTTGCCGTAGTTGAACGTTGAAAAGCACCGCAAATTCTTAACACCTGCTTTCATAGAATACCGCGCGTTGTATAGCATGATATCCTTCTCGCTTTTCTTTTCAAATCTTTTAATCGAAGTATAGATGCAATTTATGGCATACATATTTCAAAGTTCATCAGTTTTTTAGAAGATACGTGAAATCAAATCGAAAGTCGATTCGATTTGATTTTGACTTTTTCACACAGTGATCTTCTCGTTATGCTTAGTTGCGAAAAAGTTCATGAAAAACTCATGTCATCGCGACATTAGCTTATTTTTTCAAAATGTAAACTAAAATTTATTTTAAGATAATTGATGAGATAAATAATATCGTGTAACTTTATCTGTTATTTATCTTCAAAGGAAAAAGAAGATCGTAACACAAATACAGCCATAAGAACATCCTCAATTTATTGCATTTTCTTGAAAGAATGCGGTAGGAAAGAGATGAAAGTAACATAAATAATAAGATAAATGCAACATTGTCAGTTTATCTAAAACAAATAAACAAATTCAAACATGTTCTAACCAGTGAGTTCTATATAGTATTGATACTATTTGAATTTTAGATAAACTTGTAATGTTACTGTCATTCCATGTTATTTTTATCCCTAAATAAAAGTCAAAGAAGGTCTAACAAATATTAAATAAGATTCTTGTGAAAATAAATACTATTTTTCAATAAAACTGTTTATTTATTTTTCGTTAAATATAAAAGATATATATTACTATGTCAATTTATGCAGGAAGTGTTTTACGTTTATATGACCAAAACTATACATCTAGAATTTATTTTAATACATGTAATAAGTACTATACAGTTATCGTGAAGATCATCTTGGCAATTCGTTTATTAATAAGTAATAGTTACATAAGTAATTTTATTTAT